GAAAACCCTACAATGTGGGTGAGAAGTCGACCCATCCACCGCCAGCTCCCCCCCCCCACCTTGAAACTGCCTTTTTAGAACCCCTCAGTGGGGTTTTCATGACAGGAGGTGCCTCCTACTGACAGAAAAACTGCCTTAAAAAAATTCAGGAGGGAAAGTACGGGTGAGGGAGGGTTCAGCTCCCCCAGTCCAGGGTGTGCTTTAAATTACTGTCCACCCCCAGCCATCCCCAGTTGGCTCAGAGGGATCCAAATACGTTGGCTGAGAGAGGATTTGATTTGGCTCAGACAGGTCTCCCTCAAGTCCAAGATTCTGCCTGTAGAGGTGGTGGAAAGTGATATCAAGTGGCAACCAACTTATGGCGAACCCACCCTGACCTGGATAGCCCAGGCTAGCTCGATCCCATCTGATCTCAGAAGCTAAGCAGGGTCGGCCCTGGCTATATTTGGATGGGCGACCTCCAAGGAATACCAGGGTCGTGATGCCGAGGCAGGCAATGGCAAAACCACCTCTGAAATGTCTCTTGCCTTAAAAACAAGTTTAGCTCGCCACCTAGTGGTGCTTAACACTAAAGAGCTAGAACTTCATGGTGCCAGACAAGTTTAGGATCTCCTAGCTATTCTACGCGCACTGCCATAGGACAATTATTCATTATTATTATGGGACCCCGTAGGGGTTTCAAAGCTGGAGACCTTCAGGTGATTTGCCATTGCCTGCCTCTCTGTAGTGACAGGGACGTCCTTGGTGGTGTCCCATCCCAGGACTAACCAGGGCGGACTCCACTTACCTTCCAAGATCTGATGAAGATAAGATGCCTGTTGTAAACCCCAATGTGCTTGGATACCAGCAATCTTAAAAACTGAAGCATGGATGTGGAAGTCTACAAAGGTCCACAGAAGTCTTCAGTTAAGCCTTACAAACTAAGCAGAATGTAGCCTCTATGACCATACTGCACGTAAATCCCTCCAAATGAGTAAACCAATGTTTTTGGAAACGGGAGTCAACACTGTATGGTGCTTGGAAGGAGGGGTGGGGGGAAGGCTCTCTACTGTTGAACTGGTCATCGGCTGCCAAAGAACAGGAGAGCTGGAACAGAATGGAACAGAATAAATATTTAAACAATTGAGGAAACCTACGTGAGGGCTTGGGGGGGGGGGAAGCGTACTTGCTCAGCAGCAGATACTTAGAAAAAGTTTGCTTTTCTGCCATACTGCATTCTTTAAAAGGGTATGTAAGATACATATTATAGAAGAGTTCCCCAAAACGTTTGCTAGCTGAGGCACATCGTTTTTGCAAATTAAAGAAGAAGAGGAGAAGAGATTGGATTTATACCCTGCCCTTCACTACCCAAAGGTGTCTCAGAGTGGCTTACAAACTCCTTTCCCTTCCCCTCCCCACAACAGACACCCTGTGAGGTAGGTGGGGCTGAGAGAGCTCTTGACAGAAACTGCTCTTTTTCAAGAACAGCTCTTATCAGAACTACGGCTTGCCCAAGGTCATCCAGTCAGGTGCATGTGGAGGAGTGGGGAATCAAACCCAGCCTAGTGGGCAGAGCTGCCTCTGCACGCAAGATGGCTGCTCGGGCAAGTTACGACAATCCCACCCCTAAACATCCGAAATTTGTCTACCTCCATTGCTGAACGCAGTGGTGTCCAAATGCAAACTGTCCGTGGAGCCGGCTGTGAAAGTGACGTGGACCGCCTGGAAAGGTGGGCTGTGGCTTTCTGCAGCGTCACCTCTGAGCTTCTCCAAATCAGAATTACTCTTGTTCATTTTTAAAAAATGCCTAGAAAGGGAAACGGAGAGAATTACACACAAGAATGTCAGGCGTTCGTACAAAAGGCGCATTGCATCGGGTTTGGAAGACTGGAGGCACGCCTGCACCAGGATCCAAGACAGGGGGGCTTTTGAGGTGGTTCATTTGGTCTCTCTTGCCTCACCGGCCCAGAGGCGCAACGATCAGCAGAAGAACAATGAGAGATCAGAGAAAAGCGGCCATACAAACAGCGGAACAATCTCGACGACACATGAAACTGCCGTGTCACGAAAATTAAGTAGGTCTCCACTCGTTCAGTGTGTGGAGAATACCTTGTAAGCAGTGATCCCTCTAAGCTGAGTTAGTGTGAGCTAGCTCAACATTTTTTAGCCTCCGGCTCACAGATTTTTGTCTCAGCTCAGGAAGGATGGTTCCAGAGCAAACCTGTTTATGCAGTAGCCAGATTGCTTGCTCACAACTTTAATGCCAGCAGCTCACAAAGTAGAATTTTTTTCTCAGAAGACTTCAGAGATTAGAGGGAGCATTGCTTGTAAGTTGCACTGGACAGTCCAGAAGAAAAACAAGAGACAAATGGAAGAAACAAAAAACAAAACAAAAAACCCCAGTTACTTTTGAGTATTTCTTGTGACAAGGCTGCTGCTTATTCATAAAATGTGGTACCCATTGTCGCCATGGTAAGGACCCAGTGTTTTTAGAAAGTGGGTGGAGCCGGATGGGGCTCCTGCTCAGCAGGGCTTCTGATTGGCCGCTGGAGATCTGATAGGCTGTGCAGATTCAACTACTAGGTGGCAGCTGTGTGCGTCTTGGCCTCCCACGATGGCCATTTTGTGGTTGGCTCCGCCTCCCACAATGGCGATTTCATAGTTGTACCCGATGCCCTGTGTCAGAATTCCAAAGGTATCCACAGGCTCAAAATGGTTGGGGACCCCTGGGGTAGACAATCAAAATGGTCACTTGAAAAAAAAGAGCAAGGGGCAACATTTACTCACAAGGACATTTACTTTATGCTCCAGTGTGCCTCTGTGCCTCAGTGTTGGTGATGGGGGAATAGTCTTTGTGATGTCTATCCAACAGTGATATGCGCTTGTGCATTCAGCCTCCTTCACTGGCTATCTGCACTGCTCTTTTCCACATCCCCGTTTCGACACTGCAGTTTTTGCATATGCAACAAGACAGATTATTTGCTCTAGCAGGTCATGTAGGACTCCTCTACTTCCCATCTTCAAAAGGACTGTGCCCTGGTTTTTGCTTGCAGAAGGCAGAGAGCAAATCTGCTCATTTTCTGCTCACAGCACAGTGTCCTCCTAACCACACGCAGAAAGTGACCAAACTGGGTTGACAGTTCATTTAAAAAAAAAAAAGATTCACCCCTAACAGGCAAGCCATCTTTCTGATTAAAAACAAACTTCTTACCTACCCTGACGTTTCTTTATTGGATAGCTGAAGATCTTCCACCAAAAAACCCCAACAACAACCCCCCCCCCTGCAAAATTATTGTCTCACTGCTGTGGACCACTGTTGTTGAAATATATATATATATATACTGTGAACGTAATTGGAAATTCCACCTGTGCTACACCAAGGATGCGATGACAGGAGAATGCGATGCTATTTTCTCACACGTCTGCTCAGTTATGCTTCAGCCTTTTAACAAGAGCTCATTCCCCCAGTTCCTAGCACATCATCCACACTTCTCTCGAATTCAAAGGAACTTACGTTCCGCTGCAGATCGTGCCCTTGGATTCACCAGAAGCCTTACATGCCACATTAACGTATGACGCTTTCCCCAAATCATCTAGACGACAACTTTGTAAAGTAGACTAGAACAGTGATACTCATCTTAGAGCCAAAATAGATACATGCTGGCCCAGACCTGGTGGGACTCTCTGTCAAAGGACATCAGGGCCCTGCGGGATCTTATGCAATTAGTTTCTCTTGTTGGTATAGTTTTGTATAGAATTGTACTACTATGTCTTTGATTTCTTCCGACCTGTATTTCAGGTCCTTCTTTTCATCTTTTAAGGCAACAATAGTCCTTTTCGCTCTTTCTTTTCTTAGTTTGAAAGCTAGCCATCTCGTTGGCTTATTTGCATTCTCGAAAAAATTTTGTTTTGTGTATTCCAATTTTCTGGCTAGTTCTTGAGATAGTAAAAGATATTATGTCTTGTACAGCACCCAGAGCCTGGCATAAGCTGAGATAGGATGATTAATAGATGATGATGATGATGATGATGGAGTTCTACATTAGGAACTCTGGGCTATTTTTAAAAGCTTGACTTTCAGGATTCGAATTAGGACCCTGGGGAGGAAAGAGGGTAGGCTTAGAACCCTCCTCCATGTGGATCAGACTCGCCCTCTCTCCTGACCTGGATAGCCCAGGCTAGCCGGATCTCATCAGATCTCAGAAACTAAGGAGGGTCAGCCATGGCTAGTATTTGGAAGGGCGACCTCCAAGGAATTCCAGCGGCATGACACAGGGTCAGGCAGTGGCAAACCACCTCTGAAACATCTCTTGCCTTAAAAATAAATTTAGCTCGCCACCTAGTGGTACATAAAACTAAAAGAGCTGGGACTGCTGGCTGCCACACAATCTTACGATCTCCTGGCCTGACTACACACACTGCCATGTGATAATTAATTAATTAATTCACCCTCTCCACAGTGCTTGAAAATTATGTTTTAAAAAAAATAATCTTCTGGAGGTCTGAACATAGAACTTTTAGCACATGTCTTGTCTGGCACTTGCAAAGAAGAGGAGTTTGGATTTGTACCCCGCCCTTCACGACCCAAAGGAGTCTCAGAGCGGCTTACAATCTCCTTTCTCTCCCCCTCCCCACAACAGACACCCTATGAAGTAAGTGGGGGCTGAGAGAGTTCTTTCGAGAACTGCTCATGAGAGAACTTGTGACTGACCCAAGGTCACACCAGCAGCTGCATGTGGAGGCGTGGGGAATCAAACCTGGTTCTCCCAGGTTAGAGTCTGCGCTCCTAACCACTACACCAAACTGGGTCTCGGAAGGGAACCAAGAGCAACACAGTGGCTTTAGACACTCATGTCCAAAGGGACCTTTGAACTGCTGTTGCTTCTGCAACCAGCTCTTCCTCAGTTCAGCGTCTTAACCACTTGAGCCACCGCAGCTCATGTCCAAAGGGACCTTTGAACTGGTGTTGCTTCTGCAACCAGCTCTTCCTCAGCAGCGGTTTTTCTTTTGACTTCTGCACAACACTGATGTTGTTCTGCAGACCTTGTGGGCTTCCCCAGACTCCGCTGAAGGTTTCCCGAAACCACCTATGGCACAATTTCCCCCCAAAGACTGTACCGATTGCGAGTTTGGGGAAAGGTATAGATGGGAAGTTCCAGACTTCCTTTCGCCTCCCCACATCCGGCGCTGTTTCCCCCCCTCAACCTAGCAGCTTTCTGCTGGGTCCCCCCCCTTTTTAAATTATCAGTAGTAGGTATATCATTATTTTTAAAAACCCTGGCAGAGGCAAGGGGAGGAGATGGAGGGTGGGGGGAAAGCACAGAGAAGATATCTGTGCAGAGCTTCTACTGCAATGTGAGGGAGACAGAGAAATCCCCCCCCCCCCGGGCGGAAGCAACCTGGGGCTTTCCTGCTCACAGCTCATGCTGGTAACTGCTCCACTCCACTTGCAACAGCCTCCACAGACCCATGGCAGATTTTACTTCAGGCAAATTATTGGCAACAAGCTCATTGCTTTTCTCGGTCAGACAAACTAAACCCAAACTATGAAGTTAGTTGTGCATTTCCCACAAGCCCCCTATTTCTTCTTAGAGGAAAACGGACCACCACAGACCTTCCTCTTCATTCAACTTTACTAAGGAAAATGCAAGGGCCAGTGTGGTGCAGTGGTTAAGAGTGTCAAACAAGTACCTGGGAGATCCAGGTTCGAATCCCCACTCGTGCCATAGATTTGCTGGGTGCCCTTGGGCCAGTCACACACTCCCAGCCTACCTCACAGGCAAGGCTCCCTCTGAGGTCTTGTGAGCAAAAATTCTACTTTGTGAGCTACTGGCATTAAAGTTGTGAGCGAGCGATTTGGCTGCTGCATAAATCAGTTTGCTCTGGAGCCATCCCTTCCTGAGCTGAGACAAAAATGCATGAGCTGGAGGCTAAAAAACTGTGAGCTAGCTCACACTAACTCAGTTTAGAGGGAACACTGCTCACAGGGTTGGTGTGAGGGTAAAAAGGAGGAAAGGAGAATTATGCAAGCCATCTGGAGTCCCCACTGGGGAGAAAGGCGGGGTATAAATGAAGTGAACAATTAAATAAGTCTATATACTAATAGACAAAGCGCCCCCTCCGTGCGGATATCTAAATCCACACATCGGGGGCACCTAGGGGGCAAAGAGATTTTCCTGCACATTTGGGGCAATCCCCAGGTGTGCAGAAAAATCTAAAAAGTTTAAAAAACTATAGGTGGGATACTTAAATCCCCCCAAAAGTAAAAGAGTGTTCCCTGTGCATACGCAGAGAACGCCCTGGCAACTGTCTCGCCGCCGCCAGAGGGGGGGGGGAGAGAACGTTTGGTGGGCCAGCGGCTGTGAGCCATTCAGGCTTCGCTGCCGCTCAGGGGGGTGGAGGGAGAAAGCTTGGCGGGCCAGCCTCGCCACCACCACTGGGGGTAAAAGGAGGGGGGAAGCTTAACGGGCCGGCGGGATGGCCTCGATGCCAATGCCGGGGGGCGGGCTCACCTGCTGCTGCTTCTCCTGCTTCTGCAGGCAGGGAGCTGTGGGAAACACTTCATCTCCCCGCGAGTATCGCGGGTCCCACTTCTTGTATAACTAGAAATAGGACCCATTTTCCCAAGGACAGCAGTGTTTCTTAATGTCAGCTGCGATCCAAGAGGGGAAACGGAGGCGTGCATTTCTTCTTGGCTGCAACACTACGGAAGTGAAGCCTCCATCAGTTTCATCAAGCTTCGTTCCCAAATAATTCCATTCTCCTGTGCCGAGTTTATGACCCTAGGGCTGCATTCCTACGCATCCG